AGAGAGAGAGAGAGAGAAAGAGAGAAAGAGAGAGAAAGAGAGAGAGAGAAAGAGGGAGAGAGAGAAAGAGGGAGGAAGTGGGGGCTGGCAAAGTTCCATGGAGGGCCCTGAAACAGTAGCTCTGATGTTTAGGCACAAGGTCCCTCACCCCAGTGTCATTGCTCCTTTTCAACTGAGTACATCTTGGACATAGGGAAGTTAAGTATCTCTCAGAATCCTGTAGTACATAATTAGTAGGGTATTGCAAACCTAATGAAAATTCCCAAGAGTTTATGTCCATGTGTACCTTATATGTGATAATTGCATTGTCATGTGTAACCTACTGAATTCTTTTATTCTCTAATTACTACATTTCCCCAGCTCTCCCTTTTTTAATCTTTTTTTATCTCTAGCACTATTTAGTTCAGACTATTTCATTTCAAAAATAATTTATTATAATCTTTTAATTTGCTGTAGCCATGTCCATATTTGACAATTTTTACCCTAAAATATGTTTTATACATTGCTATGGTTGATTTTTCTAAAGTCTAGATAAGATTATTGTACTTACTTGCCTAATAAAGTAAGAGATTATTACCCATGTAGCAGATTGACTGTGACTTCCATGCATGGGATGCATGGTTTCTTCGGGTTCCTCTAGTGGACTCTTCCTTTTTACCTAGATGCCTAGACCTGTCCTGCCTAGCCTTTGCAGCTCTATCCTCTCTCTTTGTGACTCCTCTCTGAAGTTCTCCTTCTCTACATAGTGAGAAAAGATTCACCATTATCTTTTGTGTGTGTCTCTGTGTGTGTGTGTGTGTGTGTGTTAGCAATTTCACTGCACTCTGTAATGTATTTGTATTTGTCCTATCAAGGGGACTGTGATTTATTTGAAGGTAGTGTTCTTCACCTTTGAAGCTTTATTTTCTTAAAATAATGCTTAGAACATAGAGTAATCATGAATTTTCATTTAATTGAGTCTTTTGTTTTTGCTTTTCTGAGACAGGGTCTCATTATAGCCCAGGCTGATCTTCATCTTATGAAACTGAAAGTAGTCTTGAACCTATACTCCTATCCCACCTCTCCACTGCTGGGTTATAGGTGTGCACCACCACATCTGGCTCTTGATTAAATCTTAAGCTCATGTGGTTTGTTTTGGTGCCAGACTCCCAACCCCTTTGTGTAAGAGAAAAAGCACTCAGAGATTAAGAGTAAAGTCAAGGGGTTGAGACTACACTGTATCTTAACTAGATAGTGATGAGATTTTTCTATCTTACAAGCCTAATGCTATTTACATCAGAAACAAATGTCTTCCTTTGATGATATGTCTTATATGTCTTACCGTGTGGGTTAAAGGAGAAATGTCTACATAACTTTTATCCACTTTTTATAGGTGATTTCCTGTGATTTCAGCAATAAAGAAGAGTAACATTTGACATTGAAATTCCTGTCTGACTTACCTGAATGAGTGATTACTATGTATAATTTAAAATTAATTTCTGTTTTAGCCAAAATCTTTTGCCATAAACCATGACACCGCATACTGTGGCAGAGATGCTGTGAAAATTTTACTGGTTCTTTTGGATGAAGATGCAGCCAGTGCTCCCACCAGAAACAGAGCAGAGCTTTTATATAATGATGAGAGTACAGTTCCACACAATGGAACTTCTATTCTTACGCTCTTTAGGTATGTGATATGGAAGCTATATGGTATAAGTTCTAACCTGAGATATATACTATGTTATATTATATATAATACCTTGTTGATTATCAGAGGAATTTATACTTATGGTAGGAAACGTGGAAGCAGCTGGATAATATGGAAAAGCAAACAAAAGCTAAAAGAAGATTTGACATTTCACTGTAGCAGTTATATTTATAATGCAGCATTTAAGAGTGTGGTTTGGATTTTAATGTTTTCATTTAAGTGTTTTGTTGTAAAAAATATTTATTTGTTTTGATATATGTGAACCTTGTTAAATCACAGCCCTTAAAGAGATTTCTTTTAATAGTGTCCCCAGGGTCTAAGAGAAAAATCAAGACTTGAGTGATTGCATAATATTCCCAGTGGAGCTCAGTTAACAAGTAGCAAAGGTTTCTTCTCCCAGATTCAAAGTGTTCTTCTTGGACCACTATTCTTCATAAGACTAGAATGTACACACACACCGTATTTATAGCAGAATCAGCATTTGTTGGCTTCCTTGGACATTATGAAGAAGATTTGCTAAGTGAATGTTGGTGTTATATAAAAACCTTGATACTGCCTTGGTATTGCTCTGGCAGCCATAATAAATACCATAGACTGATAACGGACTGCTGTTAAACAACAGAAATCTAGTGTGAGGTGACAAACAGCTAGGTGCCATAGGTTGTAGAGGTGGGTTCTGTTAACAGCTTTGCTTCATTAGAAGATGACAATTTTGTTTTGCTTACATGACATTTTTTAGTGTGTGCACATAATGTTCTCTCTCTTGTCCCTTTATTAGCAGGCATTTATCCTATGTATTTGATAATTTACTCTTGTCAGCTCTTTTAACTGTGATTGTCTCATCAAATTTTTGTCACATGACTGCAGGTTTCCTTTTTTCTTGTAAATATGATGCTTATGGGAGTATGGAGAGAACTAGTTTAGAAGCTACTCTGACTTATGAGTGTCATAGTTCATTTTAGTTGCTACAAAAAGGTATCTTAGATTGGGTAATTTATAAATAAATTCATTTCTTATAGTTCTGAAGGCTAAAACTCAAGCATCATGGTGTCAGCAGATTGGTTGCCACTTATAGATAGAGGCCTGTTTGTTCCTCGTTAATTACAGCTGTCCGCGCATCTTCCATATGGTAGAAAATGTGAAAGGACAGCAATGGCCAGACAAGGTCTCTCTCCTTCATAAGGGCACAAATCCAATTACTAACGTGAACACCTCCTAAAGCCTTCCTTCCTTCAATGTCAATATAAATCTAGAAAGGGCAGAGACATTCAAGTTATATTAATGTGTGTGTCTTTTTTTTTTTAAACATAGGTCTCCCACACAAGTGAATAATACATCGATTAAGCCCCTCAAAGAGCGAATCTGTAAGTCAGTGCAAGCAGAAAAAAATAAGGTAAAATAAGGTTTAGTCATAAACTGACAAATATTGTTTTATTTTGGAAGAAATAAATATATAAAACTGAGCTGGATATTGTAAACACACAATTCACATAACACAATAGGAAGGGAGTGGAAAAATAAGCAATGACAATGACAGTTGCTATAGAAAAAAAACGTTGCTTTTACATAATCTTGACCTATCTGTAGCTTTTTCATTTACTGGAGCTAAATGAAAGAAAGAAATAGGCAGTTGCTGTTGTAAATGTTACATCAATGTCTATTGAATGAATGAAAGGAGAAATAAAGAAGCTGTGGCTTTATTTGTACTATAATATCTTCAATGGAATGAAGACTCAGTGTGTCACTGTCACTGTAACAAGTACTGAGATAGTCAATGTAAGGGGTGAGTAAGATCTTTGGATGACATTCTAAATTATAGAATATATTTATGTGTGTGTATACACACTATATATGTATACACACACACACTGAGCAGCTTATATGTATATATTCATATATACATACAACCTATCCAGTCTGTATACTATTACTTGTATGTATTTACTTTCATTGCTGACCATTTGGTACTGGATAACTAATGGGTGTGGTTTTCCCCAGGGAAGACTATTTCTCCCACTCTCAGCATTCCTGAGTTGCTTGTAGTTGCTTGTGTAGGACAGGATCCCTCCCTCCCTCCCTCCCTCACTGCCCTCATCTATATGTTAGCATGTCTGTTGGTGTCATCCTTGTGCAGGTCATATTTAGGCAGTCATGTTGGTGAGACTTTATGAATGCAGCTTCTCCTATTCTTAAGAGATACAATCTCACTGAGCATTGGTGGTGCACATCTTTAATCCCAACACTAAGGATCTCAGTGAGTTCAAGGCCAACCTGGTCTTTAAAGTGAGTTCCAGGATAGCCAGGACTGTTACCACAGAGCAACCCTGTCTCAAGAAAAACAAAAAAACAAAAACAAAAACAAAACCTCAAAACAACCCAAAACAAATAAACAAACAAACAAACAAAAAAACAGAGAGAGGGGGGAGAGAGAGATGCAATCTCACAACAAATTCCCTGATCCTTTGGCTCTTTCTTTTCTATTGATTCCTAAGCCTTAGGTCTTGGAGTTGTGTTGTAGATGTATCCCCTTTGGATTCGGCTCCACAACTGTCCATTTTGATTGGTTATGGTTTTCTGTAGTGGTCTCCATCTGTTGGAAAGAGAATTTTGCTTGGTAAGTGATAAGGACTGCACTTATATGTAGGCGTAAGGACAAATATTTAGAATGTAGTTTGGGAATGTGCACTTTTGGAAATTCTCAAGAATCAGCTAATTGCTATAAAGTGAAAACAAATTCATGTGTGTTAAAGAAATAGAAAAGCTCATCTAATTTAGTGTTATTTACATAGGTGCAAACTTTAGAGGGTGCTGTCTAAATTACAGTGACCATTCAGTATCTGATGTCATTTTGCAAAATCATGAAATTAAACTTGCATTGCTTTGTTAGCCTAGTCTACACAGCTAGGCTGGAACTGAAAGACAATGAAGAGTTAGTGTTCATGGCTATGCTTTATAGTAAGTAGCCTTTGCAAAAGCAAAAGGTAAGATCCATCTATTTAGCTAGATATATAACTGAAGCATGGCCATGTGAAGTACTTGTTAGAATAGCAAGAAATATTGCCAATATTTACTCCTAGGATGATGATGAAATAGTAGTTCAACCATTTATTGCTGTATCTTCCTGCAACTTTTGCTCTTCTGGCATAAAGTTGTGGTGATGTTTATGTTCAGTTTTGTTTTCTTTGTTATGGAAAATTACATATGGCTTTCACTTGAAATACTTCGAGCATTCTAAAAGAAGAAAATATTAGAGGATGTAAATTTTTTTTTCTTGGTGTCATATATCCAAATCAATATTAGATGGAAAGTTAATTCTTAGATTTAAGTTTCCTTATCCATAAATATAAATGAATAGTTTTCTGGTCACAAAGTTAGGTTTTTAACTTTCATTGCACACTGTTGTCCACTAGGGAACTTGACTCTGATTATATAATAAATTCATCCCTATGAAGGAGATTGGAAGGTTCTTGCTAAACCTGCATGGTTTTGATACAGATAGACCTTTAGAGAATATTTTTCCCATTTCTTTATTACTACTTTCAAACTAGTTTTAAAATTCATTAAATTGCCTTTTTTTTTTAATTAGAAAATCTAAAGGGCACATTTAACCACCTTAAACTCTGTGTATTGTGTGTTTTATTCCTTCCATCATGATTTACCAGCCCTTGAATATCTGTCTCAACTGAAAGGTCATATGTATGTCTTTCCCTTACTGTTTCTTTAAGGCTTTTTAACGTCGCAATGGATCTGTGTTATATATGTATTTATCTCCTTAATAATGCAAACTCCTCAATCCAGCAAGTATGGGATCCTTAAAACAAGGAGCAGGAGGTAGAGTGGAATTTAGATATTACTAGTGTAAGAAAGTTAGCCTCTCTGTTACTCTGTTGCCTTCATAAATGGTTCTTTCCTGTGGTGTTGGAAATTTTTTTCTTACCTAACCAAGTTTAGCCTGGGAATTTGAAAACTCAAAAGCATATCCAAATTAAAAGGTGCATTGAGAAAAAAAAAGGTGCATTGAGATTGACTCGAAGAATCTCCTCTCCCTTGCTTCCTAAAATGAATGGGAAAGTAATCAAAACGAACAAAAATAGGGCTGAGAAGATGATGGCTTAGTGAGTAAAGCATCTGCTGAACGATTATAGATGCTTGAGGTCAGATTCCTAGCATGGCTTGCTCCCATGACCTTAGCTTCTGGGAGAGAGAGGTAGGCGGTGGTGGGGGTAGACAGGTGGATCCTGGTGCTCCCTGGCTAGCCAGTCTACCCAAGATGGCTATCTGCAGCTCTAGTGAGAGACCCTGTCTCAAAAATTTAGGTGATGAAATGATTGGGAACAACATCCTGACATCAACTTCTGACTTCTCAGGTGCCCGTTTGGATGAGGGCAGCATCGTGTGATCGCGCATGCATGCACAACCCTCCACCCCAAGTAATCACTGAGAACAAATTACAAAGAATAGTATAATAAATTGCAGTAAAATGGCCCACAACCGAAGCTGAAGGTCTCAAAGGGAAGAAGCTTAGCATTACTTAGCAACTTAATTTAGATCCAGTTATCAGATAGAGATGCAGTACTAATCTAATCCTAGTTACAGATACAGAGATGCAGTACTAATGAGTATATAGAATTATGAGGATTGTCTTTAGGATTTCCCAAACTGAGAAGCCAAATAAATGTGTGTTTCTCTTTTTTGTTCCAGAGAAATGGTAGGCACAGCAACTGGATAGTAATGTGTGAGAATGAACTCTGAAATGTATGTGTTAAGAGAAGTGGGGGCTCTTAGGCTCCATACTAAATCTTATCCAAACAGTCCTCTAATTAGAATGAAGCAGAGTCCCTGACTAGATAAAGTAGACCTTCTGATAATATATATAATGTATATATTGTATAATAAATTCAAGAAGGAGACCCAGAAACCAGAAACTTCTTTAGACTTTTGCCTCAGATGACCTCAGCATCTACCCCAACCATTCCTTGGGTGACAGAAAAATGAGGGCCAGGAAATATGTGACTCTGGGGAGAAGTATGATGCTTTCAAATAAGAACCAAGGAATGGAATTGAGTAATCAGCCACAGACCGGAGACTTCTCTTCCTAGCTAGAGTGTAGTGGGTTGTGGCTGAATACCACTTCTCTTATAGTACCATGATTATAAAAGGCTGATAAGCTTGGGAAAACACATTTTAAAGACATGGTAGAGCCCTGAAGCAGAAGTGTTAAAATAAAGTAAGACCAGAGAGAATGAGTCATTCTCAGATAAACAGTCTGTTGTTGATTGTTTTCCTTCTGATACTACTGGCCAGGTAGGGATCTGTGCCGAGGATTGCTATTGACCGCCTAAAGGAAGGAGAATTGGTGTTTTGAGAGGCTGATGACCACTTGAAAACTCAAGACCACCTAAATATGCAGCAGTATTTTTTTCTACCAAGGACACTTAAGAATTTTGTCATAATTAACCCTTGTTAACTCTAGAAGCTATTTTACAGATCACACAGCTTGCAAGAAGCAGAGCAAGGTTTTATATTTAGGTTCTAGAATTCAAAGTTTGATCTATCACCAAAAAGTGAATAAAAGGCTCACAAGAATATATAAAATTATAATGTTATTGCTTTGGTGAACTTTTTCTATTTAGCTATATAATTGAGTTTGCTCTGATAGAAAAATATTTTACACATGCATGAAATTCCTCAGTATCAAATAAAAGATAAAATGTATTCTTTTGAAAATGTGGTAATGTGAGAATAAAAAGATAAATTTTTCGAATAATTTTCTTTAGATCCATAGTTGACAGATATTTTGAAGATAGTTTCTCTTTTCAAGCTTGTCAATAGTGTAGTGGGAGCTTAAGACTTTTGTTTGTTAGCTCAGTGTCTATTCCTGTTCAGTACTTTGACTCGTTCATCTTAAATAGACTTAGGCTTTCCTCTGTGAGATACTTTTTCCTCAACTGGGAACTTCCTAATAATTTAAAAAGAGCTGTGGCAAAGGACTTTTCCAATGCTTGGCAAGTCTGAATTTTGTTGCAGTTTCACTGTGGATAGAAATCTCCTCAATGGAGAGAAATCACTCCACAAAAGAAAATTTTCAATGCATTCTTCTCATAATATGATTTTAACAGCCATGTATGAACCTGGGCATTTTTCTGAGTTGTTTAGTACTTCAAAAGCACTTTCAAGAGGAATTGTTTTGCTTATTTGTGAATCCAAATCAAATATACAGAGAGCTTTGGAAGATTTGCATTAGGAAGTAATCTCAATTCTATTCGACCACTAATCTTTTGCAGAAAAATTCAACTTTTATGAACAAAGGAAAAGCATTCCCTTTCAAGTTATAAATACAAGGCAATGTAGCCTGCACTGTTTTAGTAATTAAATGAAGATGCTGAGCTACATTCTAGAATCACTTTAGAATTGGCCTGGATCTGAGAACTCTGGTCCAGCAGAACTTACTTTATAGATATACCCACTTCATCTGTGTTATAATAGCTATCCAGCATCTATATTAGATCTCCAGAATGTACCTGTATCTATCATATATATGTCTCCATGTGTACATACATGGGGTATATTCATAATATCCGTACCTCTGATTTTCATGTTTGAGACAAAGGACTATATACACACCATACACACACACACACACACACACACACACACACACACACACACACACACACACACACACACTTGTTTTTTTGTTTTTTTTGTTTTTGTTTTTGTTTTTGTTTTGAGACAGTGTCACTACGTGGCCCTGGTTGGTCTAGAACTTACTATGTAGACTAGGCTGGCTTTGAACTCACAAAGCTCTACCTGCTTTTGCCTTCTGAGTGCTGGGATTAAAAGTGTACACCATGCCCAACAATGTCTATATTTTTCTACTTCAGCTCTTTCTCCACCAAGTTATCTTGTCTTTCTTTGCATATTTTGTTAGACATCATCCTGTTGACTTCAGTCAGATTCATGATTAATTAAAATGCACAAATCTATGATTTCATATGTTGCCCTATAGCCATCTTTTTTGAATCTAAATGTAGGACTTTATTTTTCTGCATCCATTTTTTTCCTTTTATTTTTTTATATGGTTAGAGTCTGGAAGTTTTCAGTTTTTTATAATTTCTTCCAGCTTGTGTCAACAGAAGATTTTATCAGTAAAATAACTTTGTGATTGTAGAAGCCTTTCTGGTTGTCTCTTGATTTCTTTCTGCTTATCATATAGTATAGAAACTCAATAAATAGTACTTTATTTTAAAAGATTTTTGTATAGGAAGAGAGTAAAGACAATTCATTTATAAGACTTCACAAACAGAAAAAACTATCTGAGTTGGGTATCCTAGGGCATATTCATAAACCCTGCAGCCCCAAACTCTAGTATCTAGACAAGGAGGATCTCAAGTTTGAGGCTAGTTTGGGCTGCATGGTAAAATCATGTCTTAGACAAGCATACAGGCAGAAACCCCTCAACGTAGCTACTCTTTGCTATTTAGACTCATAGAACTGTTATGCTTTTTGTATTTTGATGTGTATTTCATGGTTAATCATTTTTTTTCTTACCTGGATCTGTCCTACGTGCTATAAGAACATGCTGTCTTTTAACTGTAGTTTTCTGAATTATCACTCAGGGCTTTGGAATTCCTCTGTGCATGTGCCTGAAGAGGAACTACAGCAGGAGAGATGGTTATACTAGCTCTTGACTGCATGTAATGGGAAACAAAGGTTTTTCTTAGATTGTATATTAAAAGTAAACTTTATAAGAAAATTTCTGTTCCTGCTAAACATGAAATTGAGAACAACATACTATCCTAAACAACATAATTATTGTCTTTTTATTGGAGTATCCTATAGGTTGTGCAGAAGGTTTTCCTTTCTTTCTTTTTCTTTTTTTTTCCTTTTGAGACAGGGTTTTTCTGTGTAATAGGTGGTCTTGGCACTCACTCTGAGGACCAGGCTGGCCTCAAACTCACAGAGATCCACGTGCCTCTGACTCCTGAGTGCTGGGGTTAAAGGCGTGCACTACCACTGCCCTTCACTGAAGGTTTTGTAATGGGCAGAAGTGACTTGTAGGTGCCACCACTCTCTGGTTGTTGAGGGAATGACCTAAACCATTCTTGGCCTACATGGTCTTAAGGCTTTTTCATAACTCATTTGTTTGTCTGAGGAAGGGAATGAGATGGTGTCACTGTATAGCCCAGGCTGGACTAGAACTTTATACTGCCCCAGTCTCCAGAATGTTAACATTAAATGTGTACACCATCACATTTGGCTCTCTTTATACCTTTATAAACAAGTTTGTAATTCTGAGTTGTAAGAAGGCTTGTGGGAAATGATACAATAGAAGCTGTATTTCTGGGGACTCAGAGGCCTAGTGAGTGCTGGCGCTTGTCATGGTCAGCTGCCTGCTCTTCTCCAGTTTTTGTAAGATGGAGCCTTTCAATCTTGTTATTAACAAACTCCAAATGTCTAGTTCTTCACTGAAAAAATATGGAACACAAGTTTTACTAATATGGGAATGATTTTCATTAGTTTTAAAGCTACATAATCATTCTAAATGAACTTGGCTTTTATGAAGCAGCTGTAAAGGAGGCCATTCTCATATCTTTTAAACTATGCCCAGTGGTTTTATTGCTGTCATCTCTGCAGACATCTGAATTAGAACACTGGCCACTGATTATATAATAAAATGTAATTATTGAGTATTGTCAATAAACAATCTTTGTAATATGCAGCATTATCATAAGTATAATTTGAAGTATTAAAAGGATATGAGCTAGCTTCTAATGATTTGGAGAAATCACCCCATAATAGTTAATGGTTATGTATCAAGTATAATTGATGATATATTCACATTTTATGGGTAGACTAGATGTTCTGAGGTGTGTTCCTACTCCTGTAATAGCTCAGCAGTTTCATATTTGCAGGATGCATTTCCAAACTGCTTGTTTTCCTGTCCTATTTCATAGATTAACTTTCCATCTTTCCCTCTTGCCTCCCCTCTTGCCCTCAAGTGTCTTAGTATATAATCCAGGCCGACCTTCAACTTTTGATCCTTCTACTGTAGCTTCGAGTGTTAGGATGACAGTTGTATGTCACTATACCCTGCTTAGAATTAATTTTATCTGTCTGACTGTCTTCTGTTTATGAGAAAGTTGGGCTTTCAGTTCTTATCTCTGATGTTAAATGCAAGTGTATGTTTTGAAATTTTGACCATTAAAATTCTTCGTTGTGTCTTTCTAGAATGATATAGTTAAAAACTGGTTTTTCCAAATATTTGTTTTAACCAAGAAATAATGTCTTCACATGTTGTTTGTGCTCCTCTTGCTAAAAATTAGCTATTTCTGTTTCTGTTAACTTCTCCAATTCCCATTTTTTGTCTTAGTATTTTTCCTCCCACTAATTTCTTTAATCACACACACTATTTTCTTTCAGCGTGTTGTGTGCCTTTTTCTTTCATACAATATAGGACTCCCATTTTTTATGACTATATGTATATATTCAGTTATCATAACACTCCAACACAGCCCAAAGGAATGTGTTACAAAACCTCCAAAGAGTTTAAAATTGAATTTTAGAACTGTTATAAAAATATATAGATAAAGATAGATGTTGCTAAAGAAGAACTAAGAGGCTAGCCATACAGTAACAAGTGAGTTTGAAAACTGAAACAAAATACAGATAAAAGTTCTCAGTGAGTGATGGGATTTGTAAGAGTAGTCTTTATATTATGTGTCAATTACTAGGGAGATTGTATATAACAAAATATAATTGCATATTTTTTCTTTGTGTTATCAGATGAGGCAGACCTTAATTAGGTCACAGTTTGCTTGCACTTATAAAGATGACTACATCATGAGCAAGAATAAATGGAATGTTAATTTATCGTCAAAGCCATTGCATGTTCTTCACTTGGAAAATGATGTTTCTGGTAATTAACCTTGTTTACATAGATATTTGTTGCTTGGGATAAAAGGTGGAATAGTAAAGTGAAATAGTAAAAAGATAATTGGGTAGGATTATTATGTTATAAATAATACATCTTTAAATATTTTAGCCATTTTAGTGATTATTTTATGTCTCATGTTTTATAATAATAGATTATATGATCCCTTTCCCCCTTGTCATTCTTCATAACAGAAGGTGCACATTCCTCTGTTGGAAGAGCAAGAATTGAAAGAAGTTCTGAAAATGTGCATCTGGACGGAAGTAAAGATGACAAAATACCAAGAAAATCTACAGAAAATAAAATATCAAAAAGGAAACAGGTGGATTTAGACAGTAACAATATTCACTGTGAGAATGGAAATGAACTATACCAACATACAAATTTTAAGTTCCCTAAAGTATCCAATGACTCACACAATAAAGCTGGTGGCAAATTAGCCCGAGGAGCAAAAGGCAATAGGTGTACTGCCAAGGACAAATTGATTCCTGGCCAGACCAAGTTAACTCAGTTTTTTAGGCTGTGATTTTGTCATCTGTATGCTTTAGATTCAGGTATATAATACCATTCACCAAAACTATGAGCTAACTTAAATATCAAGATGTAAATTGTGATGCTTTATTATTTTTATAAATGTATTGAGGTGCACATGTTAACCACTGTTCGTAAATACCAGCAAGTCAGAATTATGCAGAATTTTTATGAAGTTTAATGCACAAGTCAAAGCATATCATTTAGATTATTACATATCTTAACTATTTTAAAGCACACATTTAGGGCAATACACAAGTCACGTCAACATTAAGGGCTTTTCTCTCCACTTGCAATGAATTGTTTTTTTCTGAAAGGGTGGCGTGGACCAATAGGTATCAGACTTGCCAGCAGGGTCGGTAGACTCTTCCCAGCATACACCTGAGCACTGAAAGAGAACAAACAGCAACTACAATTACCACACAGGGTTAAGAAAAATTGTGGACCTATCATAATGAATTCTGAATAAATCAAACCACAATTACTGACTTTTAAAAATTCTCCATTTTGACAGGGTCACCTGATATGTGGTAGATGTGAACCATGGCCTTACTCGATTTTGTTATGGTCAGATCCAAATCAGTTAAGCTCAGAGCTTTTTTTATAGAATTAAAATGTAGGAATTGAATTTGTAAAAGCTACTCACTGTCAAAATCTCTCCTTCCTATAGGAAACTTAGCTGAGTTTTCTTCATCCCCAATTTCTCTCTTTTCTTGTGTTGACTCAGTATTCTGAACTCCATTCTCAGCTGGGAAAGCTACTGATCCTTTCAGAGCGAGGTAAGGCTTTAGAGCCAGATTCAGTGGCAGACCATGATTTATGAGATTCTGTTTGGAGCCTGTGTTCTGTGAAGAGAAGGTTGGTTTGTATTCCAGCTGTCTTCTTCAGAATAGAGCTAAAATACAGTGGCACAACATTCTTGCTGATAAAGTCTAAGATACTCTACACTGTTTTTCACTTCTAAAATATCTCATATACAAGAAACAAAGATTTTTTATTAGATGGGCCCATACCTGGTATGTATAAAATTATACTAGTTACCTTAATGCAGACTGTGACTCTGCATGTATTCCCATTTATAAAATTAAAATACCAAGTTTACTTTTATGTGATTTATAATTATAAAAGTCATTTCCATTACTACTGTAATAAAAGTCAGACTACATGTACTTACCTTTGAATTTTTGTTTTCGTCATCGTTCATGAAACCGCTGTCATCATTTTTATATTGTTCCAGAGAAGGAGCAGCAACTGATCTTTCTGCAGTATCTTCCTTTTGAAAGGCTTTTCCCATCCTAAATGTATTAAATACCATGTCGTCTTCTAAGTTTCTTATGGACTTGGAAGCTGAAAGTAAAATACCTTGAGAAAACAAAGAAAAAGTCAGCATTAATATGTAGGAAGAGAGACTCATTTTTGCCATCCTTAGTTTGATGCTTGCATAAAGCCAAACAAGAATGTGTAAAATGAAAGATTTCGCACTCTGCCAGTGGCTAAATGGTTCCCTACCTTTATATGTTTTCCGCTTGAATAGAAAACACTTGAAGGACTTATCTTTTCATCATTTTAGAAATGACTCATCACATAGGGCCTAGCCTTTTGTAAAGCTGCTAATGCCTGATAGTTTGGGTTTTAGTGACCTGTTGTTTATTTTGTGTGTGAGTTTTCTCAGAATCTGATTAAGGTCTTTGATAGAAGGCTTTCTTTTGAGTAGATTATAGACTCTTGAAAGTGGGTTGTTATTAAGGAAGACCACGGGACACCAGGCTCTTTTCATATTACTGTTTCCTTCTTTGTGTTTTCCAATTAAGCTATTAAAACACAAGTTATTTAGTTCATGGATGATAAGGATAAAGTTTTATGCTCTTTTAATCCTTATTAAATAGAAGTTATCTCCAGAAAAGATTTTTATTTTATAAATACTTGATATGATCTTTTGTGATTAAAGTACATATGCTTGTCAGAATTAACAAGCAAAACAAACCCAAAACTGCTCATTCTTCATCTAAAACTGATCTGTCTGGTATGTTTTATCTCAGTTCCAAGAGGACAATAAATATTAGTAAATTTAGTAACTAAGTGATAATAAGTCTGTGAAAAATATTTATGGTTTCTATGAAGATTAATTTTAGCAGTTTTATGTTTTTGCTTTGTCTGTTATTTATTGAGACAGGGTCTTGCCTTGTAGCCTTGGCTGGCCTTAAATCTGTGGCAATCCTCCTACCTCACCATAGCAAAGTCTGAGATTACAGCTATGTGCTGTGCCACCACAGCCAGTTTAGAAATTGTGTCTTTAATCACACATTTCAGACTTAATTTCTAAGATTTAGTCATTCTCATGCATATCTTTCTTTCTTTCTTTCTTTCTTTCTTTTCTTTTTTTTTTTTTTTTTTTTTTTTTTTTTTGTTTGTTTTGTGTTTCGAGAGCTCTTGTAGACCAGGCTGGTCTCGAACTCACAGAGATCCACCTGCCTCTGCCTCCCCAGTGCTGGGATTAAAGGCGTGCGCCACCACCACCTGGCCCTCATGCATATCTTTCTATGTGTGTATGTATGTGTGTGTTTATAAACCTCTGTTTATAGTTGTGGAATTTCTAGGCCCTGACTTGACCTAGTGAGAGCACACAGACCCCAGTCATAAAGCTGGGAACATTGGACTGAACCAAATCCTCTGAACATGGGTACCAGTTGGGAGGCCTGGGTAGTCTATGGGACCTCTAACAGTGAAACCAGTATTTATCCCTAGTGCACAAATGGTCTTTGGGAGGCCATTCCCTATGGAGGGATACTATTTCAGCCCAGATACACGGAGGAGGGCCTAGGCCCTCCCCCAAATGATGTGACAGACTTTGATGATCCCCTATGGAAGGCCTCACCTTCCTTGGGGAGTGGGTGGGGGTGGGTTGGGGGCTTGGTAGGAGAGCATGGGAGGATGGGAGGGAGAGGGAATGGGGGGCGCTAATATGTAAAATGATTGTTTCTAAATAATAAAAAAAAGAAATAAACTTTTCAAAGAATATATGTTTGGCTTTAGAAGTGCTAAATGTTTTCCAAATACTTGTAGACAATTTACGGTGCAAGACTCCCTGTTCTCACATGTTTGGCCCTGATGGTGATTGAGTATCTCGTTATATTTTGAGTTTCCAATTGCCTAATTACCAAAGATGTTAGACTTTTCTTTTAGTTGTTGTTTTATATGCTCTTTCCCCTTGTTCTGAGATTTGAACCTAGGGATGCCCATACCAGCTATATGCCCTACCACTCAAATGTATCTCTAACCATTTTTGTTCTTCTAGTTTAGATGGTGTAGCACTGTTTTCCCATGTGGCCTTGAACTCACCCTGTAGCTGAGGCAGGCCTTAACTTTCCAATCCTCCTTAACATCCAGAGTAGCTAGAAGAGCAGGCCTGACTTGTAGTTGTCTTTTGATAATTGGTTAGGAGCTCTCTTTACACTATTCTGGACATTATTTGTTAGCTATCCGTGTTTTCTCGATTTGGGGTGTTTTATATCAACTTATTTGTGATATGTTTTGGTGTCCCAGGCTGCTTAATATTGACATGTAAATATTTTCTTCATGTTTAATTATTCATAATATGTGCTTTCTTAAGAAATTTTCCCTAAGCCTGAGATTATTAACACATTTCCATATATTTTTAAAACTTAGATATATTCATTTTCATGTTTATTATTTATTGAGTCTGAATTATTTAGAATGTTGCAAATGGTAATATATTTAGGTTTTTAAGTTTCCCGTGTCTTCCTGCTGATCTGAGGTGTATCTGTGCAGTATGCCAGGCTTTGGTGAGTGTGTGGGTCCTTTACTGAATTTTTTCACTCTGCTGTTACATCGACAGTCTTATCACATTGTATGCTAATGTCTGGTAGATGAAGCCCACCAGTCATCTCATCTGCTGCTGCTTTTTGGTAAGCAGTTCCTTGGCTATTCTTGGACAGTTCTTTGTTGAAAAGCACACGGATTCCTCCAGCAAGTATTGAAATGGAGGGAGCAGACATCGGTACAGTACTAATGGTTTTACAGAGAATAGTAACTCTTTACCCTTGAGTACCACCATAGGTCTTTTGTAAACTCTCTAAAGGCTAGGAGAATTCCTCTCTATTTTTGCCTTACTGACAATTTTTAGCACAAATTGCTGGATTATATTGAGTTCTTAATACTCTGTGTATTTTGGAAATGATCATATAATTTCCTTCTTTTAGTCTTTAGTAAGCTTCTAGTATTAAAATTTTCATGTGCTTATAAAAATACTTTTATTTATGTTCAACCCAGAAATACTTCATTCAGTTATTTTAAATTTATTATCATGAATGAGATCTACAAGTTCTCTTCTAATAATGAATTTGTCTGAGTTTGACATTAGATTGTAATAATTTCATCAAATGTAATAAGGGAGAGTCTATTCTTTTCCTTTGCCACTATTTGGATATGGCATTCCAAGTATTATTATTAAAATTTTTATTATTATTTAATTTTTTTGTTCTTTTCAGCTATTGAGAGGTATTCAACTTCTCTGTTTTTTCGTTGTAAGAATTTACATTCTATAATGTGTGCAAAACATATTTTATCAGATAGACATAGTTAATGTCCATTTGCTTGGGACTATTAAGATTATAATAGGCAAGTGTTTTCTGGGTATTATTTTTAACAAAAATCCCTGCTCTCTTTGCTCTTGCAGAGTGTTTATCTGTTCTTTGTTTCTGTTTGTTTGTTCAATTTTAATCTCCTTAAATGCTGTTACTTGTGGCCTGCTTTGGAGGTGTGTGGTTGAGCTATAGAAGTACTTTTTAATACTAATCTTTTTCTTTTCTTCTGAGCTGCTGTCTTGATAAGTATTAATACTTAGGTATTTTGTTTTGAGTTTCCACTGGATAAATTGTTTTGGCTAGGCTTCCTCTAAGATTGGGGCCAAATCTAAGCCACTCTGACAGTTTAAAAAATTAGTGTTTTTCTTTATGTTGCTTAAACTGTTCTAGCTCTGAACAATATCAGGTTTTCTTATAACCATTTAATTATGGAGATAGTCTCCAATTTATATTTGTTTATTTATTTTAATTTCATTTTATATTCCAATCACAGTTCTCCCCCTACCCCTCCTACTGCCCCTTTTGTCTCCCCCTAGTTCACCTCCCATCCACTCCTCCCAAAGGGTAAGGCCTCCCATGGGGAGTCAACAAAACCTGGCCCATTAAATTGAGGCAGAACCAAGCCCCTCCCCGCTGCATTAAGGCTGAGCAAGGCATCCCCTCATAGGGATTGGGCTCTTTCATCCAATAATTGATGGAACCAGATGCAGGGATCCATGGCCAAGCACCAGGCCAAGCTCTAGGAATCTGGTCGAAGAGAGGGAGGAGGGAATATATGAGCAAGGGCGGTCTAGATCATGAAGGCGAAATCTACAGCTGAACCAAGCTCATAGGAACTCATGAACTCCAGATCAACAGCTGTGGAGCCTCCATGGGACCAAGCTAGGCCCTCTAAATATGCAAGACAGGTGTGTAGCTTGGTCTGTTTGTGTGGTCCCCGGCAAAAAGCCTCCCAACCAAAAAAAGCCCAGGGCCAGATGGCTTCACTGCAGAATTCTACCAGAAATTCAAACAAGAGCTGATACCAGTACTCCTCAAACTGTTCCGCACAATAGAAGCAGATGGGATATTGCCAAACTCTTTCTACAAGGCTACAATCACTTTGATACCCAAGCCACACAAAGATAAGACTAAGAAAGAGAACTACAGACCGATATCCCTCATGAACATTGATGCTAAAATACTCAATAAAATATTGGCTAATC